GAAAAAGAGAGAATTATGTTGTTTGTTGTTTGTGGAAGCGTATCATTTATTGAAAAATGAAAATTTCGATCTGTTACGATTATAAACTGAAGCAATATAAAAATCACTCCCATTAACTGAGTTTTGAACATCCGCATATCCGGTCATAGTCCAGTAATTACATGCTAACGGAAACTCTGTGTTGTACACAATTCTTCTTATTATTAAAACATGACCGGTAAGTTTCAAGTTTGTCCGGTAAAATAAATTATTTCCGGACACTTGACCGGAAACCCTGGCTGGGACATCTATGTCTAGCCATAATTCAGAATAATATTAACACATACATAACACACTTTTTCATATTGTAATTTCAATGACATTTAAATGAATTACGCAGCCCTCCATCATGACATTTAATAACAAGCTGAAAGTCATTTATAATTTTCCTAAATGATTTGCAGTTTGTCAGACTCTACATGTCGTTGTTGTTGTTCCTGATTTTCACCAGCAGACATCAGTAGAGGGGATGTCTTTTGGCCTGTAGTCATTTTGTTGTACCTCACAGGAGATGTGTGTGTTCCCCTCCTGCAGTGTGAGCGGACAGGTGTGTGTTGTAGCTGTGTGTCGGGCAGCCTGGCTGCCTGCTGCCTCCTGATGAATGAAGAGCTCTCCGGGACACAGCTGATGCAGGTCAGAGGTCATCCCACTCCCAGAACACACAGTCATAACACGTAACTCACACACACTCCATGACTGTGGTCTTTGTTTTCCAACAATTTCTGTTGGATTTAGGGCATTTGTATTAAAATCAACCTGCAGAGATTTAGTTTATTCACTACGGCTCTGATCTTTGTTATCAAAGATGGGTAATCATCATGTGGGGAGGCAGACCGAGAGGAGGCAGAGGTTAAGGACACAACAACATATAAGATTTGAGTTGGCTGCTGAAACCAAGTTAAATGCAGCAAATAGAGTGGTGCAGTGATGAAGTATTTTTGTAGGCCGACCCAGAAGTTAGCATTGCAAGCTCCCTCTACAAAAAGCTATGGGATTCTTAATTGTTTCATGGATTATGGCTGAAAATAATCTCTGTATGTTATGTCGTAGAACAAAATCTCTTCAGCTTGTGTTTAACACAGACTTTGTTTCAGGCTAACAACCAAAAAAGATTTGGGAAAAACTTAGATTTTGAAACAAGGTACCAGGAAGTGGTAAAATGCTGACTCTATGCCACTCTATTGCTACATGCACACACCTCTCACCCTGCCCGCGTTTGAACAGTGTGCAATACTGTCTTTTGGGTTGATTTTACACAGCACATTGTGTTCAAGTTTTTTTATATTTCCCAAAAATGTGGATGTTTGAGTGTCAATGAACACGTCCATATACAGTTTAATCTCCGCCTGTGCTCACAACTGCTTGACAGCATGACTCTAACTTAACTTTTAACAGACAGCAGGAAGTTGTCACTTTGAACAGTGTTTGGTGAATGTGCTGTGATTTATTTTTCTCCCTCAGGGCATGCAGGTGTTTCTGATAATATGATGAATTATCCCCAATGAGTCCCCATAAGTAAGTTGAGATATTTCTGGATTTTCTGTAAGGGCCAAACTAATTAGACTCAAACTAGTAATCTGAAATAATGTGTCTGTTCCCAAATGATGGAGTTCAACAGAACTCAGTGGGAACAGTAAACATGACAGAGCAGTGTTGAATGTTTGTTCCATTTGTCCCTGAAAGAATCACAAGAGCAGTTTGAGTCCCAACTCCAAGGTCCTGATGCAGCGTAATATCGTGGGCTGCAGGATCCAGCACGTGTGGAAGGAAGGGGAGCGGCATGTGATGTGGAAAGGAACCGTGCTGGACCAGGTGAGGAGAGTCCAGTGTGTCAGCACCCCCTGTGTATGAAAGAGGCCACCCTCTGCAGGACTATAAGCCTTAATATATTTTAAACAAGTTCTATGAAAATGTATACCCAAAGAGGCTTTGAGTCACAAAAAGTAAAATTAGGTATAAAGAATAAAAGCAGGCTGTGAGCATGTTTATTTCTGCTGTATTAATACATAGTGCCAGATAAAGATTAGGCTTAACTACTATTAGTGGTGAAATACTATTTGTAGGGATAGATTCTAGAGGTGGCTGCGCAGAATGATAACGGACTCGGGCGATTATCACATTTGTTGTAAAGTCCAAAAGAATCCAAATCAGTTTTATAGAAAGAAGGTTTACACATACATGGAAGCAGGGCCGTGGGAAGTAGGGGTGCTGAGGGTGCTGCAGAACTCCCTGATGGAGGACAGGGAATCTGCACGTCCACAAGATTAAATGGAAATATAATTCCAAAAACAACACATTTTCAGCCTTGATGTAACAACATTCATAATTATGTAAAGATAACGCTCTTTTCACCCCGGATACATTTTCCATTTTGCCCTGTACTGTAAGTGATGAAAGTGGGGGATGTTGGCTTATCAGGCTCACAGCCAAAGAGAGAGATTTTGATTTTTCAAACTGTTTTTATTCACAAAGCAAAAAACAAATCAGACACATTGACACACATTGTCGGTTCAGAAAACGACTGAAAATAAGATCATCATTCTCCACAGAACACAAAGCATTTTTAAAGCACCACATGCCCTCAAATTCTCCCACATTTTTGGTCAAACAAATGGAACTGTAGTCCGTTTTCAGTCTTGCTTTTACCATATGCTTGAAAAATCAAAACTGCATCGGTATCCATTGATTTCTCCAATGTATTCCTCCTGCTGAGGTAGATGGCCATTTTTGCTTGCCCCAACAAAAAATTCAAAAGCTGACTTTTGCACTTTTGCTTCTGGCTGTACCTACAACCCAAAATGAACATTGACTTAGAAAAAACCACATTAAACAAAATCAACATCTGAGTGAGTAACTGAAAAAGACAAAGGAGTCGACCACATTCTGTAAAGCAATGAAAAATGGTTTCCCTCTGTACACAAAAAAGGACAGGCGTCAAATACTGTATCACTGAAACGAAAGCATTAACAGCTACCGCGCCGTGG